AGTAGTAACAAGTGCCACGCTAGTAGTAACAGGTGCCTTACTAGTAGTAACAATGTTTGCTAGTAGTAACTGTATAGCGCTTAGGTCCGCTTACCATCCGCTTCTCGCGCCTGTGGAGTGCCGATGCCGCAAGCCGTCGAAACCGGCTCAACTCCAAAACTAGCGTCCGATCGCTCCTAGTAAGGCCAGGAGCTACTAGTAGCTTCTTTTGCACAAGTTTGTCAATAAAATGTGAACAAAAATGCACTTGTTTTTGCGACAATCCATTGCCGCATCGACTTCCTCCCTCGACTGCTATGGCAAAAGGTGTTGTCCAAAGCGATAGTTGCAACTCTCGATGTGAGGAAAGCCGGAGCCAGTCTGAAGTCACAAGACTATTGTCATGGTCATTCATGACTTCGTCATGCTTAAAAAGAGATGTGTTTTGACAAGCACTTTCTCCACCCCGACATGCTTGTGCTTCTCGCACGCCAGATTGGAGAAAAGCCGATCAGCATTCTGGACTGCTCCGGAAATTCCCGGGCGCCCCAAAAACGGAAAAGGAGAACCGAAAAAGATCAAAATGACTATAGAAGCAAGGAAGCTACTAGGAACATGTTCTAAAGATCAGTTTCTTCTCGCGGTTTCAAGGCGGCGCACTTGGTGAAAGAGCGCTTTGGTCGTTCCGTGTGGGTCTTCATCGTCTATGACTTGGCCAAAAAGGAATCCCTGGACTATGCCTTGGCGTTGATCTTGGAGGCGAGAAGAGAGGAAGACGAGAGGAAGGGGGGGGTAGGAAGCTACTAGGAACAAGTGCATCGCTACTAGTAACAGGTGCCTTACTAGTAGTAACAAGAAGCTACTAGGAACAAGTGCCTTACTACTAGTAACAATAATAATTGTAATTACTAGCTTCTTGTTACTGCTAGTAAGGCACCTGTTACTAGGTAGTAAAGCACTTGTTCCTACTAGCAAAGGAATCTACTAGGACGAAGACGAGACCCGTGCTCTCGGGTCGTTAGGTCCATGCTGCTGGAGCCCGAGCGCTTCTCTTTGGGAACAAGTGCCGTTCTAGCAGCGTTCTCCGAAAAAAGAAAGATGTTTCTACTAGCTTCTTGTTACTACTAGTAAGGCACTTGTTACTACTAGCGTGGCACTTGTTACTAGGAGGAAGAAAATGTGATGAAATCGAAATCGTTCATTCAGTGCTACAAAGTGCCTCCTTTCCTTTCCAGGTACAACGTGGACAAAGGTGCCCCGATTCAGGCTGCCGAATGTCCTGGCTAAAACTGGTGTTCGGGAGAGGAATGGAGAGGAGGAGTTTCCCGCTTCGTGGGGGAAGGGCTTTGCAGTAAATCGGAAGGAAGGAACGCACAAGAGAATATTCGACGCGAGTAGAAACAAGAAGCTACTAGAAACAAGTGCATTACTACCTAGTAACAGGTGCCTTACTAGTAGTAACAAGAAGCTATT